GCGAACCACTTTTTATATTTAAATTTAAATTCCAATACAGGATTAGACTCTTCCAATTACCATTGTGCTGAAACGACATCAAACCTGATAATAAAAATACAGTTATTGAAGATCAATTTGAAAAACATATTTTTAGTAATAAGACAGATTATATTAATTATGATATTATATTAATTATTGATATATTATATATATATAGATATAATTGCTGCTTGAAAATGTTTAACTCTGTAGAATTATAAAAGTAATCAATCAATTTCAAAAGTGATATGAAACCTAATAGGAGGTTGAAAAAAATTAAAAAGAAAAAATAGGAACATGGGAGCTGTTGAAAGAACAGTTATATCAAATATTATTGATTCACAAATTATCAGCAAGTCATTGTCTAATACCGAAATTGGCATATTTAGAAATAATGTAAAGCTTTTGGGCTTTTAAAAATCTGATGTAAAGAACAGCTCATAGAACACTCAAAAGTAACTCAGATTGATGTTCATAAAATCTTAGTAATAAAAAACATTTCAAGTGTCTTTCAAGTTGGTTTTCTCATTGGTGATATTCAAATTTATTTACCATTGATGTATTTTTTATTATATAATGAAAAACTAAATAAATAAGCTGAAGTCATTCATTTACATTGGATTTTCTGTAAACAGTAATTCAATACCATAATGTTTTATATGCCTAATGGAAAACTTTGCATCCCTCACGAGTATTCTCTCCTATAAACCGAATGATTGGCCACTTTATCTATCCATCACGTTGTCATATGTCGCCAGATATATTGATTTCGGCTACAAGACGGAAAATAGAAAAACGTACCATCATATTTTCTTTCTGCCTCTGGCTTTACTTTTTCTTTTCATATCCTTTTTGCTTCTAACAATTTTCTTTGTGGATTACTGATGTAATTGCATTGGGCACGCCCTATTTCACCTGATATAAAATATCATGCTACTAGACTGATGACACGTTCAATTGAATTGTTTCTCAGAAGCAATTATTAGAATTGCAAGGTGGAAAATAGATTTTGTCTGGAATTATTTAATGAACTATATTATAATTTATGAAAACTATTAAATATTAAAGAAAATTAATTTTAGAGATGAGTATAAAATACTAGATAACTGATTAATTTTATTCAACATTTTTTCATACAACAAGTTTTTCAATATTATTTTAATTAATATTCAGCATGCATCGTAAATTAAATTAGTGTATTCGATACCATTTCAAAATTGCGAATTGCATTTTAGAACATATTAGCTAATGGTTCCATGCGCAAGTTATTATTAATTATTTGACCAAATCCTAATAGGACACATATAGAATCTATATTGAATTACAGTCAGCATTTGAAATTAGTTTCAAAAGCAATGCTATTAATATTATAAGTTATCTTTATTGAGTACTTCTACATAAGCAACATGTTGCTACAGTAAATAAAATATTAGAATAAAATTTGTGATTTACAAGAAACAACTGAATAATATTCATTATATGCAAATTTTACCATAGCATGTTCAAATTTGTGAATTTATTTACATTTAGTGTGCGTAATGTAATGGAATATAAAATGTATGTACATAACTAAAAATATAACAAAACAAAATTTAAATAAATGAATTTTATGCAACATTTTATTGCTACTAGACATGCTATTAGTCATGCAGTGATATTTCGATAAATTCTGATTTACAAGGCTAATTTAAATAAATAAGTTAACACAGTCTTTTGAATTTACTTGGAAAATGATTTCAGAAGCAAAATGTGTTTTATAAAAGTTTTTCCAGTACAGTTACAATTTTTGTACTAGATCAATTATGTAGAAAATATTATCAAGTTTTAAGTTACAAATTCTTTTTTATCCATTTTTAATCATAAACACGATAGTTCTTGAAATTTTATAACTAGTATCAAATGTCTGTTCTGAAGTATTAATTTTCAATTGCTGGTAGTATTGCAACACATATTGCTTCTGTACTGGTTTTTAATCGAGATAAACAACAAACGAGGTATGTTTAATATTAAAGGCGAGAAATAAACCATCAGTTTCATTTTTAGTGCATTATTATTTCATATAAAGTCGATAATTGATGGATATCATATTATCAAATGTTTGTCGTCGTAGATAAATGTGTTCTATCTGCAAGTGTCAGATTTAATAAATTTAAACTTAAACGCTTTATGAAAAAAATACATTAAAAATTTACTGATTTACTGCAATATTGCTGTAAATATTACTGTACGCCTACGGGATTCGAACCCGATCATATTTAACTTTCTTAAATTCTCGGTTAGAGCTATATAGGATACAACATTTTAATTACAATCTGTCACACTTAGGAGATTCAGTAATTGTTTTGACTTTATTATATGGATTTTTGAAGGTATGGCAACTCAGTAGGTGTCCAATTGAATTATGAGTAATTAACTATACTCGAAGTATTTTTTGGCATTTGTATAATATTATATCACAAGAGGCGATTTTCACTTGACATCAAAGCTGCGTGCGAACCCGGGCGCCACTGCTGGGTCCAGCTATTACATTTATAGTACCATTTTAAAGAAAATGAGTGTGTAAATAGCTGCGTATAAGTATACAGTCTATCTCTCATTTAGTTATTTCCTGCAATTTTAAAATGAATATATCTGTAAATGTTACAAAATATTATCCGGCTCTCTGATTATCAATGCACGTATAGCTCGGAGCGATAATGGAAGCTATTACAGCTTGCGCCTGTTGAATCGAGAATACTGGTAGTAGGATATCAATATGGGCCAGATCTCACTGGGTTATTGTGTTAGTAATAAAACATTGAAAGCTGTTTACAGATCTCTCGAGAATTATTCTCGTGTGCATAAAACCAATTCCAATTGGTATCGGTTATGAAATGTATAATCAAAAATAAACTCTTCAGATCCGATTTGCATCGGTATAATACACAATTTTCAGCCAATATACTTATTTGATATTACGTAATGTTTTTAACCGCAAAAGAATATCTGAGGTCTTATTGAATAGGAGATCAATGTGTTCAGGAGTCGTGCCTTGCAGCAAAATTCCGTAATGAAAATGCTTCACGTTTTCCAATAGAAAATACAAAACATGGAGTTCTATGGCATATTTGATATAATTGCTTTTTGCCAACTATATGCCATGGGGGATACTTATGATTTTGAAATTGAATTTGCTGTAATAACAGTCCTGATTTTACAAAATTGGATCCAATCACTTACAAAAACTGGAGCTTCACAGGCTTTTAATTATTTAAAATTTGTGTAGTTTTTGTCATTAGCAACAAATTTCATTTACTTCTAGATTAGTTTAACTAAAGGTTAGCTCATATAAGTAAACGTTTTCCCTATGTTTTCCCTTATGAGGAGCCTAAAAAGAGGAGCCTTGCAAACCCTAATTTCGCCGACACCTACCCGTGTTTCAGCGGCTCCACTGAGTAGAAATTGCTCCAATGTGCAATTGACTATGAAAGTATGAAATATGATTTTTTATCTTATAAAAATCCTCCACAATATTTCTCTACATTTTTATTCTACACCTATACAAGAGAATTTATCCAATTTCACTTTTATTTTATCATACCTTTTCCCATTTCTGCGTCCTAATTCAATCAACGGCAGAGGTCAATAATTAATTGAACCACGAATAAAATAAAGAACGTTCGGGTCGTCGCCAAATGCAGCCTGATTGACCTGATTTTATCATACCTTATTATATATATATATATATATATATATATATATATATATTTGTTTTTATCTGGATGTGTGCTCTGGAACTTGGAACAACATCCATCTTCGCTCAGCTTACGTAATTCTCATATTAAAACAATGCGTCATCGTTTGGAATGATGTCACATTGTCCTATCGACTCGGCTTACACAGTTACCCACATTTGTATCGTATTTTTTCAACATTGTTTGTTGAGCAGTGAGGCAGAAAAAGTAATAAAAATAGAGCATAAAATAGGGAATTTTATTGGTGCAAGTATTATATGGACAAAGGTACAACATTTGGCTAAGATTTGGATCAATTAAAATAGCTCCTTAGTTTTGATCATCAAGTTTCTATTTTTTTTTATTAATTTTCCGAAGGAGAATGTTGGTGTATACCTACTACATTCTTCCTTACCCTCTATAATCGTTGGATAAATAAAATTTGTGAAGCAAGACAATTATTTAAATTGCTACAAAAAAACTTTTGACTCGCTCGACGAACTCCGCAAACTTAAAACATAGTTACTTTTGTAAAGCTCGCAAAATAAACACAATAAATGACATTAAACTCTTCGTTCGCGGATTAAAATACACAGAAGTTCTAATATAGGTCAAACATATCCCGAAATAAAATTAACGTAGTTTGTACAATTTGCGTAATTTCAAGCTTATCAGTCAAACTGAAATTCAACATGCAACAAGCCCTTTTACTTGATTCTGATTTATTATTAAATGAGACATGAATGGAATTTTTATCTTGGTTGATTGCTATTCAATTGCCATGTGTGATAAAATTTATATTTACAGACGAAATTTCGAGATAATTCATAGTTACCTTATCATGATTCATAAAAATCCAATAAATTTTATTGGTGTTATGTAAGTTTATTCTTCATATTGCCGGCAATTTAACTATAAGAATAATATAATTATTATTGCTGGTTTTATCAAGATTATATTTGCTTTGGCGAATAGTTTTGCTATTTCATTTTATTCTCGATTTATGATTGGCGCTATTTAGAATTATTTTGGGTAATTTTATTGCCATGATTTATGGAGCATGTCGATTTCGTAGACATGACGAGTTGAAGCACGAGCTAAATGAGTGATTTAAGGAAAACAAACAAGATATTAAAATAAGTGCTACATTAGCAATTAATATTTGTGAATGAATGAAATTGACATATATTTATCCTGTAAAGTACTTTGCAGCTGAAAATATAATGATTTTTACTTCTAATAAATAATAATTTTTTATTTCCACAGACTTCCAGGCATAGCACAATGCCGGAAGAGACCAAAGTGGAGGCGGATGCACCTCATAGTCCTGCCAAGCAAAAACGGTCATCAGGTGGAAGAACTGTTTTGGCTAAAGTCGACCTCCTAGATGGATCAGTTCTTGATCTCCATATTGAAGTAAGTGGTTGAATACTACTTTATTTGTGTATACCAGAAATTCACACGTCTACTATATTTCAGCGTAAAGTTAAAGCAAAGGAGCTGCTGGATAAAATATGTGAAGCCTTAAATATTTTGGAAAAAGATTTCTTTGGCCTTATCTACAGTACACCATCTGATCCCAGAGTCTGGCTGGATCCAGAAAGACCAGTTGCTAAGTTTCTTAAATGTGTGTATTAAGTTGTAACTGATCTATGTTTTTGAACTAATTGTTGATTTTTTTTTGTAATCAGCTGAACCATGGCGTGTTGCATTCGAAGTAAAATTCTACCCACCAGAGCCGGCTCAATTACACGAGGACATAACACGTTATCATTTGTGCCTTCAAGTCCGCAATGATATCCTTCAAGGAAGATTGCCTTGCTCCTTCGTTACGCACGCTCTTTTGGGCAGTTACCTAGTTCAGAGCGGTAAGTAGATCAAATTAAAAAATTATCCTGATTTTATATAAAATAAAATAATTACATCTTTTTTTTAGAATTGGGCGATTACGATACCCAGGAAATGGGTAGAACATATTTGAAAGACTTCAAATTTGCACCAAATCAAACACAAGAATTAGAAGAAAAAGTTATGGACCTTCATAAAACACATAAGTCAGTATAAAAAAAATATTTTAAAAAAAATTAAAAAAAATGGTTATTTGTAAAATTGTTATTTTTTCTTCAGAGGTCAAACTCCGGCCGAGGCAGAATTGCATTACTTAGAAAACGCTAAGAAATTGGCAATGTATGGAGTCCACTTACATCCTGCTAAAGACTCGGAAGGTGTAGATATCATGCTAGGAGTTTGTTCTTCAGGACTCTTGGTCTATAGAGAAAAGTCAGTATTAATGAAGTAATAAAATTTGAAATTAAATAATAATAATTTGAACTTATTTTTTTATTCTCAGATTGCGAATAAATCGTTTCGCATGGCCAAAGATATTGAAAATATCTTACAAACGTCATAATTATTATATAAAAATTAGACCTGGAGAATTTGAACAATATGAATCGACCATAGGATTTAAATTAGCAAACCATCGTGCCGCTAAGAAGTTCTGGAAAATATGTGTAGAACATCATACATTCTTTAGGTAGCGTAATATTTATTTACTTTTATACATTACTATGAGCTTTTAAATAAATATTTTTTCTGTAGATTGATGACTCCAGAGCCTATGCAAAAGGACACATTCTTCCCGCGTTTTGGCTCAAAATTCCGCTATTCAGGCAGAACACATTATGAGACCAAACGCGCAACTGTTGATCGTCCAGCTCCTCAATTTAGCCGATCTCTCAAAGGCGAAAGGCTGGCTTCCCGTAGTATGGATGGTAAATAAAATATTACTTAAATTATTTCAATGTCTGACTTTATTTTTTTGCCTTTTTTGTATAAATTTCTTTGTTTATTTTCCTAGTTTTAGCGGCAAATAAGGACGCAGAAAAAGACAACAAACGTCACACCATGTCTCATCCACCAGAACACATTCCTGAATTAGAAGGACATCTTTCAAGAAGCCCAATTCACAAAGACAAAAAAGAGAAAGTGAGTTTTTAATAATTGAAACTATTTTAAAAATATGTTATGCTTTGAGTATATAACAGTTAGCCAGTAATTTATATAAATATTAAAATAGAACAACAAAAATTTAAATGAGTAGTTCAAAATCTTAATAGTAGTTAACCTATATGCTCTTTAAATTCTTCTATTTTAACTTGAACTTTTAATTTGCAAAAATATTTTAATATTGTGTATTTTTAAAAATATTTTAGATGTATCAATAACTATAACTTTAGAAGTATATAAGTATACAATTAATTAAAAATATAAAAAATAGTAAAAAGAAAGTATACAATTTTCAATTACCAATCGAAGAGTTTAGCTTATGTTCATTAAACGATTTTTCTTATTATTTACAAACTGGCTCTCTTATATTAGCAATAATAATTGTTAGACAAAAAATGCACAAATAATATTGCCAGCACTTCTAAAATATGAAATATTAGAGAGTATTATTATTTTGATGCATTTATATAAATTATATAAATTTAGTGCATTTCAACATCGGTGTGTTGTAGTTTGTCAAATACGAAGATGTGGTTTTGTAATCAAATTTTTTAAATTTTTGTTGTAATGTAAGTTCTATTACTATTTATTATTAAAACGGCATCTTCGAGAAATATTTGAGTATTTTTTGTCTATTGCACTTTAGCATAGTCACTATAGGGTGTGAAAATTTTTACTACTTTTGAATATATCTCCAGTGCATGTTTTGAAAGTGCATTGTGAATTAATTTTCCGAAATAATTTGATTATTAATAATATTTTAACAATTTTAATTACTTTTTCGTCATTTATCATTTATAATACAAAATTCATGATTTTATCATACATGCATCAGTTGATACGACAAGCGAGTACAGGGACGAACTCGGCATCGTCCCAAAGTTCACTTGAAGGCGAATATGATGCGGACACTGAAAAGGTTCCGTAAAATCATGACAATTATATTAATTTCGAAATATCTTTATGCCCTTTGTAATCCTTAGAATTTATACATGCATTTATATTAATTGTAAATCTTGGTTTATTTTACCTAAGACGTCGCATATTAGACAATACACACTATGTGCACCTTATATGGTTTTATAGAAATTTAAACATAGTATATTGCTGTTATTTTTCATTTCTATTGAAACCTGCTTTGCTTGCAAATTTAAAAAAAAAAACAAATTCTAACTTATATAAATGCTTCCATATTTGCTTGAGTTATTTAAAAAAAAGTTATTTAAGAAATAAATTTATTTATTGATTTATATCAAACTTTTCATATGATTCCCATCACATGGATTTCATCATATAATATATAAAGTCCACGTAATGTTAAATTGCAGAAGTTAATTTTGAATATTAATTTTTTTAGGCACTGAATCATTATTTTTTAAATTTCCGTATCATAGTTTTCTCTTCTTGAGATAATACTGCATGATTTCTCTGCATCCATGTATCGATTGTAGTCTAAAAATGCTTTGCGCAAACAAATATACACCAGAGAAGAATATTTTATATATTTTTATCTGCATTATTTTCTTATGCTTGCTTGTGCTAAATGTTGTAACAAATTCATTACTAAAGACTTATATTTTTATACAGAAACCTTCTGGTGGCGTTTCTGTGCTGCCTACAGGAGGCCTATTTGGAAAGAGAAGTAAAAGCCAAGAAAAAGATAAAGAAAATAATCAACCACGTGAAACTCTCAACGGTAACTTAGTATTTTTGTAATATTTTTTATCTTTTGCAATAGCTTTATAATATATATTTTTATTATGCAGGTGATGGCGATCCGAACGAAACTCTTAGTTCTACCGATAATGAGAAAACACCTTCTGGAAAAAGACGGGTAAGAATTGTTTATGTCATCCTTGTCATATTTTATAAAGTAATTTTTTTGAATTGTGCAATGAAGTATTGTAGGATTATATTTTTACTGTTATTGTTGCCACTATCATTGTTATATCAATTACCAATGTTTTGTGATAGTGTCTGTGCAAATTCCAATTAAATACCAAATAGTATATTATTTTAGTTATTTAGTTATAGCATGCCATTTTTATTTGTTCGTTCCATTTTGTTTAATTTATTTAGAGCGGCTTCATGTTTGCTTCTGGCCGCCGCGATAAAAGCGATAAAGAAAAAACTCCTAAAGAGAAGAAAGAAAAGGTTCCTAAAGATAAAGATGTCAAAGAAAAAGAACCTAAAGAAAAGGAAACTAAAGAAAAATCCCTGAAGGATAAATTCTTAAAAGATAAGTCTTCTAAAGAGCCGAAAGATAAAAAGACTAAAGAACCTAAATCCAAATCTAAAGTTGCACTTTTGGATACATCAAATGATTCAAATCAAACTTCAAACCTTGATTCTAGTTTAGATAAGTCTGGTAAAGAATCTGACAAAAGCAGAACTCTTGAATCTCCTGAACCCAGCTCCCCTCAATTACCTGGATATACAAAACAGTATGAATATTCTGAAGCAGATCCCAATAAAAGTCCAACCAGAAAACCATTTGTAAGCGGTTTCAAATACGAGAAGGATCCTAAGAATAAATCTGGAGCTAAACCTAATGAAGAACAATTGAGTCCGAATTCAGAAATGAGACGAGCTACAGGTTTGGCATTTAACTACGCTCCAGGTGAAGATAAAAAAGTTGCGGAGAGTGCTGAGAAACGAAAAACTACCGGAAACGATAACGCAAAGACTCCTGGGAAAGATATTGCTGGCATATTAAAACCAGGTGTTGTCGGTTATGTTGATCCGGAAGCTGATTCTAAATTGGGATCAAAGGATCCTAAGAAATATTCTCCTAATGAGAAGGTAATTTCAAAAGCATCGCCAGGAGTTTATCGTCACTTTGGCCCTGACGGTTCTATCATTGATCAGAAATCTCCATTAGATCCTAATGCAGGTCTTTTAGATTCTGAAAGAGGCGCCGCGTTAGGTGCTGGTGTAACAGCTCCTGGATCTGCTAAGCCGAAAAAGAAGCTTGTGAAAATCATGGTCATTGTTTCTAAATTAGATCCAAAATCTAAGAAGTTAGATGCTCCTAATGGCCAAGTTGAACATTCTACTGGAGTATTAAATACCGATACTGGTCTTATTGAAACTAAATATGGTCTTTTGGATCCTCATTCCGGTAAAATGGAAATTACAGATCCACAAACAGGACAGAAAGATGTTAACCAAGGTATCGTTGATCCTAAAACGCATCAAGTACTATTCACCTCCAGAGTTGTAGATCCATCAACCGGTAGAGTGAATCCTGAATTAGGCCAACTTGTATGTGTTGCTAAACAAGATGATCCTATGATTGAAATAACAACCATAACTGCAAAATTAGACCCTAAGAGTAACAAAATTGATGCAATTAACGGTGAGATTGAACACTCTAAGGGCAGATTAAATTCTGTAACCGGCTTTATAGAAACCAAGTATGGTGCCATAGATCCAAAAACTGGTCACGTTAAGGTTAAAGATCCAAAGACAGGAAAAGAGCAGGTTAAACAAGGTGTTATTGATGATATCACTGGTCAAATATTAATTGCAGGCGTTGTTGATCCAAAATCTGGAAAAGTAGATCCCACTCTGGGACAACTGATTGCTATTGGAGCTCAAATTGAACCAGTCGTCGAAGTTGTTACCATAAGTGGCAAAGTAGACTCCAAAAAAGGAATAATTGATCCAAAAACCGCAGTTGTTGATATATCTACTGGTCAACTTAACCCAGATAATGGAAAAATCGACACTAAGTACGGGCAATTCGATATTGATAAACATAATGTTTCATACACGGATCCAAAATCAGGAAAAACTGAAGTAAAAGATTATAAAGTAGATACGCAAACCGGCCAAATTTTATTAAAAGGAACGCAATTGAATCCCAAAACTGGAAAAGTCGATAAAGATTTGGGCAGGCTTATATCTATAAGAATTGTACATTATAAAGTAGACCCGGCTACTGGCAAGGTTGTTGAGACAGATCCAAGTCTAGTGAAAGTGGATCCCAAAACCAATCAATTATGGATTCCTGGACCTAAAGATCCTAACACTGGAGAAACTTCTTACACAACTGGTCAGATAGATCCAAAAACCGGGTACATAATGACGATTTATGGATACCTGGATCCTAAAACTTCTCAGATTGTGAAAACCACAAAAGTGGATCCTGCCGTAACAAAATTGGATCCTGCCACTGGACAAGTTTACAAGGCAACAGGGCTTACAGAAGGCGGAGAACCTACTTACTCAGCGTCTCAAATTGACCCGTTGACCGGTGAAATTTATACTAAAGTTGGAAAAATTGATCCAAAAACTGGAAAACTCGTTATTATTAAGATTTATATTCTTACCAAGAAAGACGACAGAGGTAAACCTCAGGAAGTAGACCCGACATCGTGTCAAATTGATCCTAATACCGGTAAAATAATGAACGTAATGACGAAAACAGTATATGTTTATAATATGGTTGATCCGATTACTGGTGAAATTATGCAAGTGGACCCCAACGATCCTAGAGTACGTGGAGCCACTACGACGGTAACACAAACTATGACTTTAACTGGCGAAATTGACCCTGTGACTGGTAGAATTCGAACAGAATATGGTGAAATAGATCCAAATACTGGTGATATAGAACCATCGACTGCAGTACGCGATCCAGTCACTGGAAAACTGATTTTGAATTACGCACAAATTGACCCAAGCCACTTCGGAAAAGAAACGGACATCAGTGTTAAAACTGAAAGATTTACGCGATCTCCTGACGAGCTTGGCAAATCATCTGGAATATTCTCTACATTCGGCAAGACACCTAGAATTAAAAGGGACTCTGGAGATGAATCAGACGATGATCTTGATCAATACAATTCAGAAAATTATAAAGATCTTAGTGCCACGGCTAATTTGAACATTTCTAAAGGAAAACAGAAGGCAATTGGAACTCCAACGGTTGTAAAAACTACGACGAAACAAATGTTGACGAGAAACGACGAAGGTGTTACACATAATGTTCATGAAGAAATTAAAAACTTGGGAACCGGAGAAGTCACATTCTCCACACAAACGAATAAGGTAAAATAATTCAAATATTTATTTGTGCCTTCATAAGCGTACTATATATATTTTTTACGTTATTTTGCGATTTTTATCTGTTGTGGAAATATATAGATTCGTGTTTTTTATTTTGCATGATACGAATGCAATTTGTACTTTGAGCCTTGATGTATTTTGCTATAATTACCCGTAGATTTTTGTTATACCCAAAATACTGAATTTATTTTTTCCAGATTAATCGACTGAAACAAAAATTCTGGAAGCACTAAATAATATAATAATTAATTAATAAGGCTTTAGATATATTACTAATTTGATACGTATCACACACTAATTTTGTTCAAATAATCATAATTCCAAATTGATGAGCAATTGTAAATTTTCTACTATATCTCATAATATCAAATATTTTAATAAATTAAGGGGCACAACTGGTGTGAAATTTTCAAAAAATGGAATTTTCAATTTTACCATAATTCGATAGGTTATACCTTTAAAAATAACATACAAAATTTTAATTCGATATCTTAAATAGTTTGAGTCACAGCCATTTAAAGAGTATATATAGTATATAGTATAACGATCATTTTATCTTTAAACGCGTTTTTCTCGAAACAGTATTTTCCGAACTTGCTGCAGCGATTACTGAAAAACAAATGATCCGATCACTATCAAATTTTTTTTACACGTTCTATATATAGTTCTCCGTAAAGTGAACTATCGATTTTTTGATCGGATCAAAAATCGAATTTTGGCAGTCCAAAAACGACTAAAATTTTGGGTAAAATTCGACTTAAAAAAAAAACGCCGCCATTTTGTCAATTTTTGAATTTTTTTCTTTATCGTAGTTCATTTTATAGACAATATTATCTAGTTTAACTAGAATTTTTTTTTCTAAATTTCATCCACGTAGATGGCCGGAATCACTGCAGCAGTGAAGGGCCTTTTTTTTGTCGCATTGGAGATCGACGATAACTTAAAATATATTTAATTTTTTTCTTCAAAAATTTTACTATGCATTTTTAAAACATGTATAAATATATTTCTAAAATTTTGAAATGATTTATAAAGTAGTTTTTTTAATATAAATTCCTAAAAATCACAATTTTTTTAGGCGGTTACACTAGTTGTGCCCCTTAAACTATCGTAGATATAATCTTTATAGAATATCTACGATGAATGAGTGCTAATTTTTATGACTAAATTGATAAAATTTGACAATATCAAATAATTTATTTGACGTGAATTTTGCAATCAAAATAATTAAACTGAAATATTAATAATTTTTCATAAAATCTTTGTACTTGGAATCATTTTCTTCTTCAAAATCTATTCGAAATAATTTATTAAAATTTTTAAATTAAATAAATTTAATAAAATGTATATATTTATTCAATTAAATTTAATTTAATAATTAATCTATTATGTTATCGTACATGTTACTATCAAAATTTTATATAACTTCATCTTCTTGGCAATTGTGGTGTTTTATATCATCTTCGTCATCCAAATCTATTCAATATATTTAATTAAAAGTATTTCTACGTTAATCGGTATATCAATAATAATAATACTGTCTTCTAATAATTCATTCAATATTAATTTAATCATTTCAATATTAACATTAGTAGTACCTTAACCCATGTGTTATTCGATGTTTGTACATAAACTAACCTTCACTTCCCTGCCCTTTTGTTGTCGCACCACCTTCAGGCTGAGGCTGCTCCTGGTGCGATTGGCGACGAAGCTGGTAAGTTACCGCACATCACCGCCCGCGCGGTGACGACGCGCACTGCCACTACACACGAAGATTTAGGGACAAATGCCAGGCGGCAGCAGTTGGAGGAAAAAACGGTAGCCCATACCACCACTTCTTCGGCGAATAGGCAGGAACAAAAAGTTGTTACGCAGGAAGTGAAAACGACCAGCACGGTCACCAGTGCGGATCAGGTTAGATACACTAGATGGAAATTATTAAAGTCGCTTCATATTATTTTCATTATTATAATTTTTCAATATAAAAAAATAAAGATAATATCATTAATAGTAGTAGCAGATTGAGAAGAAATTGAACGTGAAATGTTGTAAAAATAAAAATTCTTTTTATGTTTCGATTTTTTTAACTTTTATTTTATGTAAGGTGACCATAAAATCAAAAATGAAAATTTTTATATATCTTTACGTTTCAAAACCTTCTGAACATTCTGGCATACCTTAGAAAAAATGGATGTATGTGTGTGTGTATGCGTGTGTGTGTGTGTGCGGATACAAATTTTTGTCGACGATTTCGGGAACACGGATGAAGCGATTTAAATAATTCAAAAAGCATTCGATTCGTATTGATAAGGAGACGTGCTGATTAGTTTTTAGCGAAGGCAGGTCTTGCCGTTCCGAAAATATGCAGCAAAAAGTGCCAAAAACGGTAACTCAGTTTTAAGAGAACATTTCACTTGTATTAACAAGATGAAGAATTGATCAAGTTTTCATGAAGGCAGGTCTAGCGGTTTCGGAGATCTACTAAAAAAAGTAAAAAAAATACCATTTGGCGGTCAAAAATGATCATTGGACATATGCACATCAAATTATTAGATATTTTATAGAGATTTTAACAATAAGTATAAATTTTGTTTACATTCCTATGGGTTTCGTACCAATGCTTATCCGTTAGACGGCGGCGCGGCGCTTACGCGGTTCGATATTTTGTCTCTATGCAGTTAAAGCAATACGATTGCTTTCAAAAAAAGTTCAAAATTTCCAAAATATTTCAAAATACACTTTTCTTCAAAAATTCTTTTCTTCAAAAGAAGTAAATTTTTGTCAAAAATTTATAGTTTATCAAAAATCTAATTTTTCAGAGTAAATTTGTTTCAAAAATGTTGATCTTTCTAAAAAAAAAATAATTTTTGGTACGGGAAGTTCCAGCAATTTGCCTTAAGGCACGATGCCATGCGCCCCACTAGTTTGATTATATTTAATACTTTTTCATATATGATATTATATTATATCTTATATTTTTTTATCTATATGTTTTATCGCTTTTGAGCCTTGTATAAAATTCTATTCAATTTTCTTCATAATTATTTTGAAAAAAATAGCCCATGTTGGTTTATCTTCATAATTTTTGTTAATTTACCTATTAATTTTTGAAAAACTGGGACTATCCGGGACAAAAGATCTAAATTCGGGACAAATATTGCTTTTGGAAAAACCCGGGACACAAGTGGAAATCCGGAACAAACCGAGACGTATGGTCACCTTAATGAATGATAGATAAAATACCTATTATTATTAACTATTACACATAACATGATCATAACAACGGAGATTAAAGTTTACAACATAATTTTCTAATAATTATCACCTAATATTATCATTAATTCTAAATCATGGGGCTCATTTACCCAAGGTAAACATTTTATAACTTTTGTTCAGATATAGTTTAATTTTTTTTTCATTTAATTTATCATTTCCTATTTTTTGTTTGCATGTTTTTATGTGTGCATTTCTGGTTTGATCTGCATGTGCTATTTGTGTGTAATACAAAAAACACAAAACGCAGTTCAATCGAAGAGGAAGCATTACATCGTCCAGCAGTGGTGACTCTGGTACACCTATTGATTTTGATTCCTCATTGCCACAGGTAACTAAAACAAATATTATTGATAAAATATGATTAGCCTTTGAGGAATATATTGGTTTTACTATTGTTATCATATTACTAGTTGTATTTTTAATTTTATAATTTATACTTTGTGTAACATGATCAGGTAAGAGTTGAAGCTTCCATTTAGCATGGACATTGTTGTATGCAAGTTGGAAAGATCATATCATTTATTTTTTATGCTTGCATGGTTTTCCAGACATATTTGAGATTATGCTCTCAATTGCATTCAACACTGGCTAAATCATTAAGTAAACCAACCTAGAACTTAATAATAAAATTTTGCAATTATTTTATATTTAATAAATATGTTTAATTCCACAGGACGGTTCTCTTGTGAAGTCTAATGTATCTGGTACCCAAGACATTGATCCATCGAGAACTCAGGAGTTTATAGGAGGTGTGCCAATAGTTTCTACAGAATCTCGCAGAGTTGTCCTAGGAGAAGATGGTGAAGGTTACATTGTCACCGGAGAAATTGTATCATCCCAAACCATCAGTTCCAAAACGAGGACCGTCGAAACAGTCACGGTAAAAGAACTACAATCACCTTTAATTTATTTGCTAAGAAAAATGGGAAAAGAGCATAATTGAATTCTTATTTTCTATATGTTACCTTTATTATAATATAATCTTTTTGTATAGTACAAAACTGAAAAGGATGGAGTAGTAGAAACCAGAGTGGAACAAACAATAACGATACAGAGTGATGGTGATCCAATCGACCACGATAGAGCCTTGGCTGAAGCTATTCAGGAAGCAACTGCTATGAATCCAGACATGACTGTTGAAAAAATTGAAATACAACAACAGGCGGCACCCCAATAGAGAGGAATTATTAGTAAGTGAAAATTAGTAAGTCTTTTTTAGTACTTAAATACAGAGAAACATAGTACACAACTTGACAAAGAAACACAAAACAAATAAGTGATCAAAATCAATTAATCACTGATTAATTAATTTTCTCCCAAATGATTATTTTTACAATTGAGTAATATTAAATGCTACACCGAGACAAAAATCTATACCTGTAAATATTTTTCTTGCAGGTTGCACATGAATTTGAATATTTAACAAGATTTTAAATATAAAACAAGAAAAATTTTAATTTAAGTCACAAATAATTTAAATGTATATTTTGTTATAAATATACATACAATCGAAATACTAATATAAGATTTTATCTTATTCTTCAAAATATATTTCATTGTCTATTCATGCTTGTCATTTTATGACCTGTTCATTTATAAATAAGTAAAATATACATACAACATTATTTTTATTTGAAATTATAAATATTTGATCACTTATATATTAATATATTTTATTTTTCACTAGTGTTAGGGATCTCTTTTGTTATATTTTTTAATTATAAATATTTATATAAAGATTATAAAATTAGTATTCCAGATTATATATAATAAGAGAATATTTTTAAAAATGTTTGATCCAGTGAAAAGATGAAAGTTAAGATATATTTAAAAACATACTAATTATTTATATTTAAACTTGATGGTTTATTCAATCAGCTATTAAAGTATATGCTGCAACTTTTTTACGTTTTGCAAAGAAACATTTTTGTATGATAATAAGTATTTTATTTTATATTTTTAAAGTAAATAAGCAAAACAATTTTAGATAATATCATAAATTAAAACCACTGCCTTTCAATATATGTATAATTTAAATATATGCATTAAATTTTGCTATTATATATTTCCTTGATGGCTTTCATTGTGCTAGATATCTAATTTATAACTTATTTAGTACTGAAATATAATTCAGTACACTCATCTACTCTCCAAAATATTTAGCAAAATTTTTCACATATTTAAATTAAAAAGAATAAAATACATTGAACAAACATTCCACATTTGAAAACACAGAGTTGCTTTTAAACTAATTTCAATTCGAATCAGAAAATTAATGATACATTTTAAAAAAAGAAAGATATTTATTGTAAAGATTGTAAATAAATCTAATAAGTCATCAAAGAAAAATACAAATATATGTTACCCGAGAAGAAAACATTATTTATTCTATGGAAATAGAGTTTGTTCAATAAATGAATATTCGAGAGCAGACATATGAGAAAAAAAGCTTAATATACAATGTCTATAATAAGATTTTAGATAAGATCATATTTGCATATATATATATATATATATATATATATATTAGGGTGGTCCTTAAAATAGTCATTTTCGAATTTCCTTGTTCCCAGGAGCTCAAATGGTTCCAAATAGATAAAAAACAATTCTCTGAAAGTTTTAGCTCTTAATATTAACGTTTTGATAGAGCGCAATTCAATCAAAGTTTTGTATGGAAATAGAATGAAAAATTTTTCAAAAATTTTAAAAATGTTTTTAGATGTAATTTAGTAAACAAATGAATGAATAAAACTCATTCATTTATCGCTAAGTTATACCTAAAACATTTTTTTTTAATTTTCAAATTTTTTTCCATGCTCTTTCCATACAAACTTTGATTGAATTGCGCTCTATCTAAACGTTAATATTAAGAGCCAAAACTTTCAGAGAATTGTTTTTTATCAATTTGGAACCATTTGAGCCCCTGGGAGCAAGGAAATTCGAGAATGACCACTTTAAGGACCACCCTAATATATATATATATATATATATATATATATATATATATATATACAAATATGATGAATGCATATATGCACACATGTATGTAAAAAACATTTATTTAAAGCTTAATAATAAAACATTTTAATTTGATTGAATGTTTAATAATTACACAATTGATTTCAATTGTATTTTTATGTCATAGAATTTAAATTTACAAAAATGTTAGTAAGAGCATAATGTTACTTATTTATTAAATTTTGGAGCGACAGTCCTTGCACTGCCTCTTAACTGTTGGCGTAAAAATCCTGGCAATTCATTACTTGGTACTAAAAGTAATAAAAAGAAAAAATAATACAAAGATTTAACATAATATTAATAGATATTTAATGGACTCACAGCTGTTCCAAGATATATATGAAGAATTATTTGGCAACTCATTGAAATCTTCTGCATTCATATTAATATAGGTTTCAATATTATCTTCACAGAGGGATTTTCTTAAATCTTGATATTTTTCATGCGACTGTTGTTTGGCTCTAATTTTGGCCTTTGCTTGGTTTTCCAAAAGTTTGTTTAAGCTCACTCTGGATATTTGAGATACTGGCTTACCATCAAGCATTTCTGGCAGAAAAGTGTGAATAATATGAGAATGTATCAAAGTTAAAAGTAATTAAATGAAAATCAAATTATTAATGAAATGCAGAATAAATCAATTAGTACCTAATCTATGTGAATTGCCAATTATGGTATCTTTATATCGCCTAAGTTTTGTGGCTGGGCATCTCTTAAATTCAGCCTCTTTTAAATATAACCAAGATTGCAAGCATTCAACAAAATCATCAGCACTTGGAAAGAAATTATCATTTGCTCGAAAAACTTCCAACTTTTGCAATGGTTTCAAGGGCAATATTGAATTTATACCTGTTCCTGAGACATCTATCAGCCGAAGATTCTTAGAGGTAAATGATATTTTTATAATTTAGGTATAGAGTAGCATAGTTTATAAAACATAATGGCTCACATTAAGGCAGTGACCTGGTTCGTGGATCAAAGCACATTGAGCTGCCTGGATTTAATATGTTTTATTGTCGGTGCTCCGCCAAGATTATCAATTTTAAAAATTAAATTATTTTGAAGATATAACACTGATAAATTCATGCAAACTGATATGTCTCCCTTTAAAAAAAAAATTATATTATAAATATAATATATATATATATATATATATATATTATCATAATTTAATTTAAATTTCAAATAAATATAATTTACACTTACAATAATTCTTATATTTTTATCATTTAGATACAAATGAGTAAGTCTTCTTATACAATCGGCTTTACTTTCAGATTTATGAGGCAGAATATTTTTGGAACCAACACTTTCAATAAAGTTTTGACTCATTTTAGAGTTAAGTATTTATAAAATTATATAAAGTGTGTTAATAAAATATGTTTTTGGGAGATTTTTTAATCAAATAAAAGGAATCAAACAAATAAAAATTATCACTATGGTAACTACATATTTAGTATGTATATTTACCATTTCATACAAGTTGATATGATATCACTCAATTATGGTTATCAAGATATATTTATATATTCAATTTATATACTAACTATGAAGACAAAACCTCAGCTACGGGTATATAAATAAAAATACACCTTTGTATTTTCGATTTTCAAACAACCCGCCATAATAGATTTGAATTCATATTCTCTTATGAAACGTTTGACGTACGGGTCGGTGGCGACATCTAACACAGAACCATATGAACCCGGTAGTCACTACGTAGTTCCTCACGAACTGGGAACAATTTTGCATAGAGGCGCTGCATGCAATCTCCTTAGAATCATAGGAATCTTATTGGATTCCTTTTTACGCAAGAACTGTCAAATGTTAGTTCCTCAAGAACTGGGAACAATTTTGCATAGAGGCGCTGCATGCAATCGCAGAACTGGGAACAATTTTGCATAGAGGCGCTGCATGCAATCTCCTTAGAATCATAGGAATCTTATTGGATTCCTTTTTACGCAAGAACTGTCAAATGTTAGTTCCTCAAGAACTGGGAACAATTTTGCATAGAGGCGCTGCATGCAATCGCAGTAGAAACTTAGAGATCTTATTGGATTCCTTTTTACCCTATTATATATAATTATGGTCCTGGCTTAGGAGAAATATCAATATATACATTTATATATCGCTTTATACGCCCTTAGATATATAAGTATTGTCCCGGTTTTGAAGGAATATCAATATATACATTCATATGTCGCTTTATACGCCCTTAGATGTATAATTATGGTCCCGGCTTTAGAGAAATATAAATATATACATTTATATATCGCTTTATACGCTACTAGATATATAATTATGGTCCCGGTTTTGAAGGAATATCAATATATACATTCATATATCGCTTTATACGTCCTTAGATATATAATTATGGTCCCGGTTTTGAAGGAATATCAATATATACATTTATATATACATTTCCCATACAAACTAGGGCAGCTAGGCCATATATAATCATGTATAAATCAATTTATACATTTATATATCCGTTTCCCGTACAAACTAAGGCAGCTAGGCCATATATAATCATGTATAAATCAATATATACGTTTATATATCCATTTCCCATACAGACTAAAGCAGCTAGGCCATATATAATCATGTATAAATCAATATATACATTTATATATCCATTTCCCATACAAACTAAAGCAGCAAGGCCATATATAATCATGTATAAATCAATATATACATTTATATATCCATTTCCCACACAAACTAAAGCAGCTAGGCCATATATAATTATGTATAAATCAATATATACATTTATATATCTATTTCCCATATAAACTAAGACAGCTACGCCATATATAATCATGTATAAATCAATATATACATTTATATATCTATTTCCCATATAAACTAAGACAGCTACGCCATATATAATCATGTATAAATCAATATATACATGTATATATTCAATTCCCATGCAAACTAGGCCAGCTAGTATATATATAATCAAGTATAAATCAATATATATCAATATATATATATTTATTTATATATCCATTTCCCATACAAACTAAGGCAGCTAGGCTATTTTTAATCATGTATAAATCAATATATACATGTATATATCCAATTCTCATACAAACTAGGCCAGCTAGTATATATATAATGATGGAAAAAACAATATATAAATCCGTGTATAGCTTTTTGTTCTTTCGATGTCGGCTCTTCCTATCCATGGATTCAACTTGACAGTAGTTTCTCACGAATTGGGAACGATTTTGCATAGAGGCGCTGCATGCAATCGCTTCTATGAATCTAGAAATCTTATTGGATTCCTTTATACGCAATATATACATTTATATATCCATTGCCCGTACAAACTGATGCATCCAGGCCATATATAATCATGTATAAATTAATATATACATGTATATATTCATTTCCCATAAAAACTAAGGCAGCTAAGCCATATATAATCAGGTATAAATCAATATATACATTTATATATCCATTTCCCATACAAACTAAGGCAGCTAGGCCATATATAATGATGGAAAAATCAATATATTTATTTATATATCCAATTTTCATAAGAACTACGACATCTAGGCCATATATAACCTGTATAATATATATTTATATCTATATAAAATTTTCATAAATCCCGCGATCAAGTTGCAGGAGTACCATTAAAACAATCGTAACATCTGACATTTATTTGCTAAGGTTGGAGCTACTGATCGATTTATTCTTGGCAAAGAAATAAAAGTCGTAAAATAACACTTTGGTGTGCCGTCAAAATGGCTTCGTTGTGTGGAAAAATCGCTTTAAATACAATTAACCGCAATGTCGGAATGTCTGTGGCCAGATACTGTAAAAGTAAGTATTAATTTTTGGACCCGAGTGCCAAGTAAAAAAATCTGTAGTTTTCAGAAATTTGTGTTACGTAATATTGTTACTTCATTATTTAGTATATAACATAAAATACTTATGAATACTATGATATTCATTTATTTAAACAACTGTAGAACCTAAATATTGGTCTTAAGTTTATTGCTTCATACAAAATCTAGACATGTTGATCTTAAATTGACAACATGGCGATTCAATTTCATGATAAATTATGAAATATTTCAACAATTATCTTTTTAGTGATGCCTGACATCATGGAACATGCAACGGGTATTGAGAAAAGGGAACTCCAAGCTATTGCTGCAGGCAATGAAGATCCCTTCGACATGAAAGTAATCAAAAGAAATGCTGGGACACAACAAGAACCTAATTTAATCCCATCAGCTTTCGAGTCTCGCATTGTGGGATGCATATGTAAGTCTTGGCTAGAATGTCTACAATACATCAAGTTGTTGTTTACTAGCATTGTAAATTTCAGCACTTTTATATTGAAATCAATAATAAATCATTTGTTTAGAAAATTAAATTTTCTATCAGTTCTTTGTTTAAAATTACTTATAACCTAACATGTTTTCTTTAGTTATCAGTGCAATTGCAATTTTAACATGTATTTTTTTTTAACTATTATAAATTCCTAATAGTAAACTATTATGCAGTTTTTAATCTAATTTTTTTTTTTCAGGTGAAGAAGACGCCACAGCAGTGAAATGGATGTGGTTGCACCAGGTAAATACTGCTAAACTTAAGTAAATTCTTTCTTTTAAGTAAATAAGACTTATTGCATCAATTATATTTTATTTCAGAATTCCCCAAGAAGATGTGAATGTGGCCATTGGTTTAAGCTTGTACAAAAAGCACCTGTTTAATAATGTGATGCATGGGCTTGTCTTTATTCTTAGAATGATGAAATAAATATAATTATCATTAAATTTGAAATCAATTTGATGTGTACATGATTGTAAAACAAACTTCAATATAAGACAAGTTGACATAGACATAAATATAGTGTAATTATGTATAAAACCATTATAAATGTTATAATTTCAAATTTTGTTTTTACATTCAATTTCAGGGCAGCGTTGTAATATAATTAATTGTGGGTAGAAGGCCAAATTATAATTACATGGTTCTAAACATATAATGCTATGAGTGTTTTGCAAAATGCAGTGCTGCAGGTAATTAATTATTATTTCTTTGCACTAGGAATGAAAGTAAATTAATGCATGTTATTGAACCATATTGAAGTTTAAAAAAAATTCTGCATACAATTAAAGTTTAGATGCAAACTACACTTGACATATATCAAATTAGTTCAAACATAATTAGATTTATGCATATATTTAACAAACCAAACAATTTAAGGTTCATAAAAGAATTTACATATAAAATATTTATTGCCGACATTCTAAAATAAAGTACAATGTTACTGTAAATATATTAAAAAAAGAACATTCTACAAGATAAATTTTTAGCTTAATAATAGAATATGTGCAGATTTTTTCCACAAAATGTTGTAAGTTAAGAAAGGTATTTTACTAAAAAATTTCTATTCTATTCTTCTAATTTATAATCTAATTCTATTCCTTTTATTGTATATTGTGATGGGTGTTTTGTGGAATGCAATGCTGCAGTTAATTATTTATTAAAAATTAAAGTAAATTAATGCATGTTATTTAACCATAATAAGATTAGATTTCTGTATACAATTCAAGTTTTAATCAACTGCATATGCCACAAAAAATAGTTCAAACCTAATTTAATTTGTGCATATATTTCACCAAAAAATCTACATAAAAGAACTTACATATGAAGTATTTATTGGTTACATACAAATATAGTCATTGGTTACATTAAAAAAAGAAAACATATTCTAGAATAAAAATTTTTTTTACTTAGCTTAATAATAGGATATGTGCAGATTCTTCCCACAAAATCTTGTTCCGTCGATTGATTCTGAATTATGTAAGTTAAGGAAAGCTTTTACTAAATCTATACATTTTATTTTATATCTGGTATCTTATGGTTTACTAAAAAGGATACTGTAAGCTCTTGCGGCTTGGGCTTCGTTTGTAAACCTGATGAGTCCTGAATCTTTTCCACGCATCTCTACATTCTCAATTCCATTGAGATCCCTGAATTTTGCACGTAGATCTTGCCATGTGCAATTAGCTGGCAACTGAAATGTTAAAAATAGTTTAGTAACTGTAAAATATAAATATACACTTTTTACTTACATTGCTTATCATAAGGGTATCTGTGACAGAAAGTATATTGCTGCTAGATCTGTTTCCTCCATCCTGTCCACTCATTTTATTAGAATTCTTGTATAAGTCTGTAGTTCCATATGAATCCAGCTGATTTGAATTGTAAGAATCCCTAATAGGATAACTTGTACTCAAGTATCCTGCATTATTCAGGGATGAGTTCTGGTTGTATGCATTGTCTCTATTATATGAAGACATTTGTTGAGTGTTTTGAGTGGAGGACAAATTGTTAAGTTCAGCAAGATTTCCACTTGCCATGTTATTAGACACATTCATAGCCCCTGCTGTTGTATTCAAAGCATTCAAGTTGGAATTATTAATACCTAAATTACCTAAATCTCCTCCACCTAAAGACAGTAGGGGGTTTGATAGTGCACCTAAACTTCCCGCAAGGCTTTGAATAGTCCCTAGACCAGCAAGATTTCCCCCAACAACATTACTTAATGCTGCAAGATTAAGCCCTTGCGGAATAGAATTGCCAATTGGGTTGTTAGCAACTGGAGGAGGTGCAGAATTTGATGTAGTGTTATTACTGCTATTATTTGGCAAATTGTATGCAACATCTCTTAAAGGCTCTCCATTAGGGCCTAAACCTTGACCAATTCCCTTTAAGCCTTCAGGCAAACGTGAATGATCCAATTTTTCAACTGCTCTGTCCATACGAACGGTCATTCTACGATCATACAATGCTTGATGATCAAACATAGAAATTGCCTGAACAGATTCTACAGGGTGATCAAACTCGATCACAGCAAACCCTCGACTATTTCCATCTTTATCAACAGATAAGTCGACATTCTGAACTTTACCGGCAAGTCTAAAAACCTCCCTCAGCTTCTTTGCATCTACTTTGTAGTCCAACTGAAATCAGCAAGGCATATGGAACGAACAAATAAAAAAAACTGTTCAAATCAATGAAAACAGGAAATAAAGCAATGATATACAATAAAAAAAAAAAAAATACAAGATTCAGCACTTTGAACAATTGAGTTTCTAACCAAATTTGAGAAAGAATCGACAAAATTCCAAACTTACATTAGCAACAAAAACTCTACTCTGTAGAGGTTCTTTAATTCCCAAGCTTTCAAGGAAAGACAAACTCAAACCATATGTGTTAAAGTTGGGTGTACTTCTTGGAATATCATTTGAGAGACGATCATTGTAGCCAGACCTGCAGTGGCAGAAATAACAAATAATTCAATTCCTCTACAGTTTCATTATACAATTACTCTGATGACTAACCTTCTTATTTCATCTCGCAAATCAGGACGCCTGTCATCATTCCGGTGTCTCCCTCCTTTTATAATGAAACCATGCTTATCTCTTTCAGCGTCTGATTTATAAAGAAAAACATTACATGACTATAATTTTAGCTGCAAAATTGTTTCCAAAAAAATCAAGAGCATCATGTAGAGGAAATAAAGTTGAGAAAATTGATACAGGAACCCCTATACATTTTATAAATTTCACTTACTATCATCCTCTTTCAATTTCAGCTTGCGACCTTTAATTTCATAGCCTTGCATGACATCCAAAGCCTTTTCTCCCAACTGGTCATTGGAAAATTCAACAATTCCGCATCCCCGAGATTTTTCATTTTCATCATAGAAAAGCTCTACAAACGCAACCTCTCCCACCTGAGCAATATAAATGATAAAAAGATCATAACCAGATAACCAAAATCAAATTGTTCTTATTTTTTTGGATTCCAGAGAAAAACAATTATTTCAAAATTATGAACAACAAAGATAGAAATAGGAATCATATAGTAATGAGCTTGATGCTAAATAGCTTCCCCATTCCAGTAGCCCTTTATCCTTTTACATTCAAGACAAATAGAAGGCAATTTACTGTTTGGATAACTGGCAAACTCATAAAGTGAACTTCTGAGACTTAAAAAAAATATTTCCAATATGCAATATTAACAACTCAGTAATGCGACGAATATAGAAATCAAAGACAACTAATTCCACCATAAACATATAAAATGTTCTAGAGAAACTTATAAGTGCGTTAAATTGAGAGTAAACAATTATAGCCGCCATTTTCCAAGATAGGGGAAAGTTTGAGCAGCAATCCAGAACAGTGGCTAAAAACAAAATTATATACCTTTTCGCGGAATAAATCCTTCAGTTCCTGCCATCGATATTCGTATGGGATATTTGAGACATACAAACGCTTAAAATCCTTTCGCCTGCGTTCTTCCCGATCTCTACTTTTATCGCGCGTAGCATCACTGAACCTGCTTGGCCGGTCGCCGCGTCTGGATCGATCGCGTTCTCTTTCCATAGAATCTTCACGTTTTATGGAATCATCCATTTTCATCTATATATAAAGGATAAAATGTTTTTACAGACCGATTACACTGAATAAAACTTAGTAAGCTCGAAGTGCTTTTCGTCACTATGCAGTTATCCTGTGCTTCGCTTCCAAATTATAAAACAAAACAAGCAGCATAGAATAAATATGCTCGGTTGGCTATAGATAGGCTACGCTACAATAGTCACCATAGACAACTTTGCGCATTCTGAAAATGAATTTAAATATTATAATGGCCAACGGGCAAGCTCTCCTCTAGCGGATTTTAAGTGAAACTTGACGACCCGGATGTGGCGATGACACATTTATGAGTTGAATTTGCTGTTTATGCTTATTTATCATAGACCTTATACAATACATGGACTGCTAGTTGAGCGCATAAAAAGTGTCAAAAGATGTTCTATGGTATGAGGGCGTACGAGGGTAATTTTGCGGCCGAGATATGTCAAATACGAACACGAGCTTTACCGAGATTAGTCGAATGCACTCGATCGCTTAAATTTTACAGTTACTTGGGTTCACGTGATGTTTGATCGTTCGGGTTTTTAAACTAAAAGAGGATAAAAATATACCTGTTGTAAAATTGTTAAAAGTAAAATGTCTTCTAAAATGTGTTAGGTAAGGTGCCTGATTGCAGTAAAACCTGTTTTGTGCTGTTCTGTATGCTTCGCAAGTATTCCGGGAAATTCGACATTGATCGATATAATAAATCGAGGATATCTTTCATATCCTTCCGAAGAAATGTTTAATTTATGTTTATATAGAAAGCCTAATTCAAAATTCTTTAAATTTAATGTACAAAAGTTCATATGAAAGCATGATTCTCTGAAAGTTGAATGACTTGGGACTTGCACATTTTTTTAGATCAAGTTATTTCCAGCAATTTGTCCAGCATTATCATGACCTTATCAACTTTGTCGCAAAAATTTACTTAACAATTAGAATGCACCATGAAGAAAGAAAGAAACAAAGTTGATAAATATGTACTCCGCTTTCATACGAAAATTGTGCTTTTTAAACACCAATAATAAATATATACATTTAAACAAATATTTCATTATTGCTTTCTAATTTCCATAATAGCTCTAGCCAACTGTCCTTATTTTCAGTTAATTTTATAATATGTAAAATATTGTTTTAATTTTTTGTTTCTAATTTCCCTTAAACACTTTGTATAACTAAAATAAATAAATTAATAAATAAATAGTTCATTACGTTCATTAGTTCAACATAAATTGTATATTATATAATATTCTGCCAACAATTTCGAACACACGGACTTTCATTTGACGTTTAAGCGATCGAGGGGCGATCGAGTTTGACATATCTCGGCCGCAAAATTACCCTCGTATGCCCTCATACCATAGAACATCTTTTGACACTTTTTTACTTGAGAAATGTATGGGGACTAGCAGTCCATGAAATTGTATAAGGTCTATGTTATTTATCTATATTTGCTGTCAACTAATATTTGTTTTGATGTAAAACGTGCATTTTTAGGTTAGACATTTGCTGTAATTCATATTTCTTACATATTCTCATCATTTATCTTTTATGATTTCACGGCAATGTGTATAGTCTTTGGATATGTGTTATGAATATATAAGATAAAAAGCATATTTCAAATCTACAATTTTTTATATAAAAATGTATCTATCACATATCTAAAGACTTTGCTTTTTTACTGTATAAAGACTATACACATTGCCTTCTACCGTATATATTCAAATAGGTGAATTTTACAATGTTTTAAATTTCTATTTGAATTTCGCGCTTTAAATTGTACAAGTGGGCACAGACTTTTTGACACTTTTGACACAGACTTTTTGACACGCTTCGATTGTCAAAGAAATTTTCGTGAATTAACATGCGTTAATTAAGACTTTTTAATTAAATCTTTGATTGGATTCTGTTAATTTGTACATCAACTCGTTAATTAATTTAGCAGATAATAATGATACAGGAAATTCATCGCAAATGTTCATAAAAAGTAAAAAAATTGGGTGTGTTGTCGAAGTACCTAGGTGTACCTTGAATAGTTTGATAAGTATCTCTTTCAGGGTCTCCATTTTAAATCAATTTTATAATTAAACAATTTTTTCACAGCGCCAATGTATCCTTCAATTATATACATGCAATTATCAATATTATAATTCATATATGTGGTTTTTGTACGTTATACTTGAGTACAATTTATTTACAGCGCCAATGTATCCTTTAATTATATTCATGCAATTATCAATAGTATAATTTATATATGTGCTTTTGTAGGTTATACTTAAGTACTTCTACAACATATCTGTTTTTATTGAATTCTAAATTCACGAAAGTCTCTATATAAGTTTGTGTCGTGTATTGTGTAAAGATTTTACTCGGACAATAGCTACAGGTCAAATAGACTTGTAAAAGACTAAAGTTATGTACTGTTCTTTAGTGATTTTGTGTTGAGTACTTGAGATTTCTGGCAGATGCTCCAGAGGTGGTTCCAGTAATGACCCAATGTTTTGGGAGCTGTTGCAGAGGATATCTAACAATGTAAGTGCAAAGCATGTTTTATACATATCGAGTCAAAGAATATTTTTCTAGAATTATATACAGATATTTATCGTACTAGATCTGTTGCACCTATAGTGTTTTAAATATTCAATATTTAACTTATATATGTATATAATATAATATAATATATATATGAATTAAGTTTTTCTTAATTTTGAATTTAAAGCAGTCAAATGATTTTGAAAATATTTACTCCAACACAATATTGTTTGTCATCTTTAGTGAAACTATAATTTCAATAGAAATTCATAAAAAGATATTTATTATAATTTATGTTCTGAAAGGAGTTTACAATTATTGACCGAGTCTGTGTTACATGCTATTTTTTATGTTTGTATCAATAATATTTCTTATTAATTATGTATTTAATGCTTGTTTTTCATATTAAATGAAATTAATAAATGAAAATTAATTTGAAGGTGCCTTGAGAACTTGTCACGTTATTCAATATCATTTATAAAGCAGTCTGTATATATTTTAGTGGAATATAATTATATACATATATCTGCTGAAAATATTGTTTATATCATAATATTTGAGTCAATATCATTTTTTACATAGTATACCTTATACAATCTATTTTTTGTTCAACGTATATAATTATGCGAATAAAAGATTTTAAATTAATTTGGCAGATATATGTGTAAAAGACTTAAGTTCTTATTTAATTTGTTATGGGGAAAACATGTTGATTCAGTCTTTTTTTTTATTTATTTATACAAGTGCCTTTTATATATGTTTTAAATCAATATTAAACAATAAAATTTGTACTTCTCGTATGTATCAATTACATTGAAAGTAATTTATTATATTACAATTCCATAAATAGTCAATCACAAATTTTTTGTTCTATGAATAGCAGATTTTGTGTGGAATTCAGAATTATTATTTATATTAAATTTTTGTTACCAAATTATTAGTTAACCAATACAGCTTTTTGAATGCATTGATTACTTGTTCGTTGAAGTAGCCCTAGCACCCCTCCTTATGTAACCCTTAAATAGATGGTGTTTTGTTACAAATTACAAATTACAAATTTACTTTGTTCTAACACCTCTTGTTCATTATTCTACGGAAACAATTTTTAAAATTACATTTCTAGTATCAAGAATCATGTGTTTTCCCTGTAGCGACATTGTCTGCATGTACATTCTTATTTATGGATAACACGATTGTTGGTTTTGATCAAAATATTTTAAATAGTCAATACAACTTACCAAATTGTTAATTAAATGCAGCTTTTAAAAGTCTTTTACTGTAGTTTTATTTTAAATTTATTCAATTATATTGCTGCATAGCTAAATGATAGATTTTTATTCTTTTATTGATAAAAACAATTTTGATCAAGACATGCAATCAAAGTTTCAAAGAGTTGACTTGAATGATTAGACAAAACATAATTTTGTTAACAAGTTTATTATTCGATTCAAGTTGTAAAAATTATTTAACTCAATTTCTAAAGGATAATAATCAGATTTAAACAGTCTTGAAGTTTTTAATGTTCACATTTGAATATTTTTTATTATTTCATTTCACATCTTTTATTGAATTTCTTTTATAGCTTTTTCCAATAATTTGTATATTATTCAAGTCAACTACATTTGTTACTACGTTTGTGATTAATTGTAAAGGTTTCACATGTTTTATCAAGTCATATAAACAATTTTGATTTGATTAATATCACTTCATTTCATCGATTAATTAAATAATTCTTTCGAATAATTTTTTTTTCTAAGTCCTTTCAGATCATTTTTTTTCTAAGTCCAAATTTTTTAAAACCTTTTCGATTAAGACAGACGAGTTAATTTTGCATGCTATGTCATCCCAAAGCCAACACTCGAATGAATGAGAACCACATTGAATATTTCATAACGAGAAAATTTTATTGGGGCAAGTCCCAGTAATTTTTTCTCATTGTGAAAATTTCAGCGTGGACCTCATTTCATTCGAGTGTTAGCAATCAAAGTTTCAAAGAGTTGACTTGAATGATTAGACAAAACATAATTTTGTTTACAAGATTATTATTCGAATCAAGTTGTAAAAATTATTTAACTCAATTTCTATAGGATAACAATCAGATTTAAACAGTTTTGAAGTAGTTAATGTTTACATTTGAATATTTTTTATTATTTCATTTTACAAGTTTTATCAAATTTCTTTTTGGCTTTTTCCAATAATTTGTATATTATTCAAGTCAGCTATATTTGTTTTTTGTCTCGATTAATTGTAAAGGTTTCACATGTTTTATCAAGTCGTATAAACGATTTTAATGTGAAAATATGATTTCATTTCATCGATTAATTAAATAATTCTCTCGAATAATTTTTTTTTTTATAAGTCCAAATTTTTTGATTATATTTCTTTCGAATAATTTTTTTTTTTAAGTCCTTTCAGATATTTTTTTTTTCTAAGTCCAAATTTTCTGATTATAATTCTTTCGAATAATTTTTATTTTCTAAGTTTTTTCAGATAATTTTTTTTTCTAAGTCCAAATTTTCTGAAACCTTTTCAATTAAGACAGACGAGTTATTTATGCATGCTGTATTATCCCAAAGCCAACATTCGAATGAATGAGGCTCACATTGAATATTTCACAACGAGAAATTTTATTGGGACAAAGTTAAAAATTTTAACTAAG